TTTATCCCAGTTGGAAGAGTTGGTGATTTGTTCAACTGCTATACCCAACCGAGATGATTTACTCCGGTTGGAAGAGTTGGTGATTTGTTCAACTTTGTTATTAACAACCGAGATGGTTATTTCGGTTTATGAATTTGCTGTTTTGTTCTGCTTAAGTACTTCAACCGAGTTATGAATTCCGGTTGACGAGGTGTTTTGTTCAATCTATGATTTATACCGAAATATTTTGCTGAAGATGGAATTGATGACAACCGTGCAAACACTTGACAAAATTTGAGTTTTTCATTGATAAGAAAGTCAATACAAAAGGTGGGGACAGAGCCCGGTTACATCAGAAGCGCTGAAAGCAAAAATACAAAAAGAGAAGAAAACAAAACTAAGGGGGAGAGATTGGTAAACTCGTCCTCGGCGGCATCAAGGTTGATGGTTGGACTTTTGTCTTGGGCATCGGGCTTGTCATGGCCGGGCTGCTCCTGCACCTCGGCATCCTCTGCCTCTGTATCTGTCTCGGCGTCTCCCTCTTCAAGCCCTTCCTCGGCCTCAGCTTGCAAAGCGCTGAAGACGTCGTTTGCGTAAGGCACGAGGTAGACCGATAGCGAAGCAGGAGGAGGATTGGCAAATACATCGGTGTCAGAGCCCTGGTCGAGATGCTTGCAGGCGGACTTCCAGCCAGTCTTGAAGTAAATGTCTTGTGTTGCAAAGACTTGTTTCTTATAGCTCTGCTCGGCTTCGTTGAAGCCGGCGTTGTTAGCAGCCCGGCAGTCTTTCTTCTGCGACTTTTTGAGCGCGTTTACCTCGGTCTGGAGCTCATCCCGTTTTTTCTCGGCCGCATCCAGCTGACCGAGCAGTCTGTTGTTGTCTGCATTAGCCATCTCAAGCGAAGACTTTGCCCGGCCGAGCTCGGCTTGGAGGCTTTCGACTTGGCTGGCGGTATCACTCGCCTTCTGCCGAAGTCTGTGGATGCGCTCTATGACCAAGTGCTGCTTTTGGATGGCCTGCAAAATGAGAATTTGATCAGAGAAGAGACCGTGCAAACACTTGCGAAAATTGAAGCAGAAGATTGAACTTTTTACCCTGGTTATGGACTTCACGGCGGATTTGACCAGCCGGGTGTCAGGAATGTGGTTGCTTCCAACCACGTCACTGGGCAGCAGCAGAGCCTTTGAGAGGTCGAAGGCAAGCAAGTGCTCCTTGTCGCCTTTGACCGAAGCATTTGCCGGGATCTCTTTGACAGGTTGCTCGGTTGTCAATTCGGCGATGAGCTCGGCAGAGGGATCTGCCCGTGGTTTTTTGCCAGCCCGGCGTGTTTCTTGGCTAGACTGCCCGGCGGCTAGAGAAGCTAAGGCGACCATGGCGGCGCTTGATTGACCGGCAGCCGGGGAGCGGGCGACGATGCTCGGTATCTCGGCCGAGGTTGCAGTGAGAAAGTTTTTGATTCGGCTTCTTTTGGCCATTTCTTGTTCGTCTGTCAACCGGATTAAGGGGACGTCAGGAAGGGTAGGGTCTGGAGGTGGCGAAGGAGCACGGAGGAAGTCTGTTACTCTACTCCGGCGTGGAGCAGAGTACCTGTAGGTCGGGGTGTAACCGAGCAAATCGTTGCAATCTCGGTGGGAATATCGAAGTACGGTCCGAATTGCCTCTACGTTGGGAAACTGATAGTTGGCTTGCAAGGCTTGGATTGCTGCAAAAGAAACAGGAAAACCGGTTAATTACAGAATAAAGTGGTAAGTTGACTGAGCAATTTTGAGCGGCTTACATGAGGAACCGAAGTTCTTGCTTATAAACCAGCCCGGCACCTCTGCTGTTTCGTAATTGCCCGACACCCAGAAAAAATCGTCGTCGTGCAGATCTTTATCCGGGGTGCCGGTTACAATTTTTTCCTTGCCCGGTCTGATTTTCAAGTAATAAGCTAGGCCGTCACCGGTGTGACCCATCGTGTATTGCCTCAATATCTCAGCTAGACCTAAGTTGGTGCCTAGCCGATTGTTCAGTTCATGAACGCCGTTGATAATTCGATAAGTGTTGGTGGACACTTGTGTGGGTGCCAGCCCGGTGCGGCGGAGGAACTCGGTGATAAGTGGGTTTAGTGGGAAACGGAGGCCTCCTTCGACAATTGACAGCACGGTGAAGGGGCATTGGTCTAGTCTGCCGCAGGGTGTTGTCTCCTCTTCAGCCAGTTCGAGATGGACGTCGGCCGGGATGCCGCACTCCTCTCTGAATGCAGCTAGCGCAGCCGGAGTATCCACTAGGAAGCGAAATTTCCCCATTTGTGGCCGGACTAAGGTAGCTCAGCTGAGGTGTTTGGCACAGTGGCAATTGGTAATTGCTCGGTCTTGAGAGCCTGAGGAATGGACAGTGGTCCCCTTGGACTCTGCAGGAAAAGGATGGCAAGTGTAAGTGTGATCGCGGTCGCGCCGAAGGAGCTGGACTTTAGCTCGGTCATTAAGAGAGCCAAACCACCTCGGTCGTCTAAGCTAACTAAAGAGCTCGGTCGCCCAAGCAGGCCAGTTGTTAGCCCGGTTGAGCGACCATTTCCTTTTGTTATCTCGGTTCTTGCTGGGGTTGAGACAAACATGTTATTTGCTAGGCTAGATTGGGTTTTTGGATCAAATGAAGACCAGGAGCCCGGTCCGCCCCAGTTCTTCAGTGTTCTTCATGAAAAGCGAAGAACACCATGAACAATGGTAGGTTTTGGACGATTTCTGTGGCTACGACCTAAGAATTATGTTTTAGTGCCCTAATGTGAGAAAGATTTAAGAAGATAGCAACAAAAGAGGGGTTGAAGGTCTTACCAGTGAGGGGCAACTGCTTTTCCTTTGAGCACAGACGCAAAGAATGGCAAGCGAGGCTTGGAGGAAGATGCTAGAGCTCTGGCGAGTCGGGTTGCAGAATAACAGTAGGAGGAAAATGAGGATGAATGGGTCTTGTATGTATAGATGAAGGAAACCGCCCAAATTCAAATTCTGGCAAAAACGGCGGGTTGGCTGCTCGAGAACCAATGGCAGCCCGCCACGTGGCAACGTCAGAACGGAAGAGACAGGTTGAAGAGTCGATGAGCCAACCGGGCTACTTTGAAAGAAGAGGACGTCAGCCGAGGAATATAACCGGGCAAGTTTGCAGACAGTAATGTTAACTAGCCCGGTCGCCCCTTGGCATTTTGAAGACCGAAAAAATGCTATCCCGATTGAAGTGAATAATCCCAGTCACACTTTCGCGGACGGAATTAAGGGGCAATTGAGAGGGAGATTTATGATCTGGAATTGGGCCGAGGTAACGGCCGAGCAGGTTGAGAGCCTAATGGTGCATGGGGCCGAGATGACCGCGATCCACCCGGAGATGGGCTGCCAGAACTTGGGCCGGGCAGGAGTTGGGCCACGTATGTGCTGCCCCAGACCGTAAAGAAGCTGCCCGGCAAGGCAGTGCTCGGTTGAACATAGCTGCTTGATCAGGGGATGGAGGAAGCCAATCAAGCTGAGTGACCGGCGCCCGGGAAGGCGTGGTCAGCCGAGGTGATCGTTTGATCGGCAGGAAGGCCGACCATAGGAGGTGCCCCGGGCTCGGCTTTGCCGAGATGCCGCCTAGCCCGGTCCTCCTTGGACTTAGCCAGTGAAGTGCTTGGGTATGAAGCACAGCACGGCCGTGGATGGAGCAGCTCGGCTGCCGAGCTCCAGCTGAGAAGGCAGGCAGTTGAGATTAGGTGATGTTCAGAAATAAATTTGGGTTTCTAAGATTTTGGATGTTCTTTTTTTTTTTAGAATTGAAGTCATCTAAGTTAGCATCCTATTTATGCAACTTTCAATGGGTTCCAAGAGAGATCTGTCATTCATTCATGCCTTATGTGCCAGAGTTTGTGAAAATGGGTTGGTCTGTTTTCTTGTGTTGGTGAGCAAACTAATCTTTTTGATTTATGCTCACCAAGTGTTTGTAAAAATGTCATAGAGAGGTTTTGAGGACTGGTTTTTTTGAAGAATCTACTTTTGTTGAGCCTTAATTGGAACTATTAATTATGTTCCTACATGTTAATTATGTAATTAAGTGTTATTGATTGTTGTGAGATTTATTGACTTGTATTGTTTGAAGCCATTTTCTTGTGTTTCCTGGTATATATATATATATATATATTCTCTACGCTTTCTATTGTTATGTATTATATATTCTGTTATAATATATATTCTGAAATTACAGTTTCATCTCTGAAACAATTTTATATTACATTAGTTTGTTATCCATTTGAATAGACATGGCAATAGGATAGATTTGTAGTGCATTGCCCTGTTTCAGATCATATAACAGGCGAGATATTTTTATTTAAGAATGATAAGAATTTTACTAAAAATTATATTAGATTATAAATAATGATTTATGATTAATAACATTTAAAAGATATAATATGAGAAATAAATGAGTGAAAATAAATGTTAAGTGTAAAATTTTAATGTTTTAATTTTATTATATTAAAATATTGAATTATATATATTTTATATATAAATAAATATATTTAATAAATATAATTAAAATGAGAAGGGAGGAATAAATTGCCATGGCTTAAATGCTCACTTTCTTTGCTAGCTAAATAATAGTGTTGTTCTCTACATTGTGATGGGGCGCCCTTCACCCATGTCAATTGCTTAATAAGACATAGTTTGTGAATAGTATGAATGTTCTTTTTTTTTTTCCCCCCAAGTATTAAGATTATAAAATTATGCATGCCCATCAACTTGTAGTGCAGTAAAACTTTCAAAGCATGCAACTTTTAATTTACAATTTAAAATTCTTGATTTGGCCATTATATGATTATATGATTGATTTATAACACATTAGGAAAGACATTTTAAATATTTTAATTATTTTCCTTTATTCATTTGAAATCAATGTTGAAATGGAAAAAAATTGTTCCTAACGATTATGGATCAACAAGATGTATACAAAGAGCTAAGAAAAAATTTATTGCTTTTAGTCAAGATGTATACTGATTTATTTTAATAAAAAATATAGGACAAATGGATCAGCAAGACAAAGAGCTAAGAAATGACTTGATTATGTGGGATAGAAGGCGAAAGTTAGCTGTTGTTCAAGTTGTTTTCCATGTGGTATATTGGTATATGCAGAGAAAATATCACCTTAAGAAGTACGTGGACCATCCTATTAATTACTTGGAGAGAGAAAAAGTGAGGATTGAGCTAATGACAAAACTTAAATGTATTAAGTATTGTCGTAATATCACCCGTATGGGGCCGCAGGCATTTCAAGATTTGTGTCATATACTTGAAAGAGATGGTGGTCAGAAACCAACAAAACGTGCAACAGTTGAGGAACAAGTTGCAAAGTGTCTTTACATTTTGTCACATAGCGTGAAGAATAGAAATGTTTCGTTTTTCTTTCGTCGCTCCGGTGAGACTGTAAGTCGGCATTTTCATAGTTTTTTTTAGAGCTCTTATATCATTAGAAGATCGATTTCTTTGCCAACCTAATGGATCCGAAGTCCCTCCAGAAATACTCAATAATAATAGGTTCCACCCATATTTTAAGGTAAAAATTCAATATTACATTTCGCTTTAAATTTTTAGTTTTATTTATATATAAAACCATCACATGATACATTTATGTTAGGATTGTATTGGAGCACTTGATGGAACACATGTTCGTGTTAAAGTATCTAGCAAGGATGTGCCGAGATATCGTGGTAAAAAAGGTTATCCTACACAAAATGTATTGGTTGCATGTTCATTTGACTTAAAATTCACTTATGTCTTACCTGGATGGAAGGGAACTGCATCTGACTCAAGGATCATAAAAAATGCACTCACTAGAGAAGATAAACTGAAAATACCCAACGGTAATTCATGCTTAGAGAATATGAAACTTTTGTTAAATTATATAGATTTGGGGTTTAACATAGTGATGTGTTTTGTTTTAAATAGGCAAATTTTATCTTGTTGATGCGGGGTATATGTTAAGGAGTTCCCTTATCCCTCCTTACAGAGGTGTGCGTTATCACTTGAAAGAGTATTCCAACCATCCACCGGAAAATGCTCGAGAGTTGTTTAACCACCGACATGCTTCTTTACGCAATGCCATTGAGAGAGCTTTTGGTGTGCTAAAGAAACGATTTCCCATCATAGCAAGCACAATTGAGCCTACTTACTCAGTTAACACACAATCAAATATCGTAATAGCATGTTGCATCTTACATAACTTTTTAATGGGTGTTGATCCAGATGAAAACATTACTGCTGAAGTAGACAAAGAGCTTGAAAATCAATGTCAAACTCAACAAATGACTCGTGCACCAAGGGATACTGATAAGGATGCAAAACAGGCGAAACTCATTAGAAATGTGATAGCAGCTACAATGTGGTCTGATTATGTTGCTAATCAAGAGTGATATTTTAGTTTTTACATGTTTGGTAGCCATCTTGATTTTATGTGATAAGTACTTGAACATCGGATCAGATATATCCATAACTTTGCTATTGTGATGACATTATTGTAGTTTATAATGTTACTTTGAATTTATTTTGATGTAGATTTTATAAATGAGTAAAAAAACACAGAAGTCCGAAGATTCTAAGAGAGAAAAACTTTCATGGACAAATCAAATGGATGATGCATTGATTGATGCATTGTATCACCAACATGTTGAAGGAAATAGGGTCAATGGAACTTTCACTACTTCAGCATATGATAAAATAGTAAAGGAATTACGTGAGATATACAACTTGGACTTAGATAAGGCCAAAGTCAAGAATAGGCTGAAAACTATCAAAGAGCATTTTGCTGAGTTCTATGATTTATTCAAACATACTAGTGGTTTTGCTTGGAGCCCGGTTACAAGGATGTTCACTGCTAAACCTGAAGTTTGGGAGGCATTGATTGAGGTACTTCAATTAATTTCAGTTTATGTTGATTTTTTAAAAAAAGAATAGAAAAACATAACTTATATTTAATTGTAACTTTTTTATTCTTTTTTATTTATTTTTTTTTTTTTGGTACATGGTGAAACCACATGCTGAGAAATGGAAATGTACACCCATTAGCAACTATGAAAAGCTGGCTGAGATCTATGGAAAGGATAGGGCAACTGGTGTAGGTGCTGAAACTGCTAAGGAAAAAGTACGACGATGGGCCAACTCATCAAATAATGATCATGTAGATAGAATTGAAGTCATTGATGAACTGGTGCACCAAAATGAAGCAAACTTGGAAAGTTTTGTGGATGAAGATGATGTTGTGTTGTCTCCTAAAAGTGGAACATCTGCGAAGGCAAAGAAAAGAAAGCTCTCAAATGATGGTAGAGGGACGTTGACATACTGAAGACAGCATTGCAGGATATCGCATCAGCTATAAGAGAGGGAAATGCTTCTATGGAGAAATCCCAAAAGATGTTTTCCAAGAGGAGAGTTGCATAAAGCATTAGAGGAAATTGGAATTGCACCACACTTGTTTACTGAGGCATACCTTTTTCTTACTAAGAAATCTAAGAGGATGATGCAATTCTTTGGTTGCCCAGTAGAGTATCGCAAGGAAACTTTAGAGAGCATGATGTATGACCCTGAGAATCGCTGGTAACTCTTCTATAGATGGGATCGTACTTTATTTGAAGGGAACTTTAGAGATATCTATCGTATTTTATACTTGACTCCATTTAGGATGTTGTGTCTTTTGTGGATGACTTTGAACTTATTTTGGATTTTTTGTGGATGATTTTAACTCTTTTTGGATCTTTTGTGGATGATGAATTCCTTGCTTTAATATCCATTTTTTTTTACTCAATTTCATACTATTTGCTTGATTGGTCTTAAGATGTTGTGGATGATTCTTAGGTTTTAATTCTTACTTTTGGAAGATTACCTAATACACTCTCACTCCTACCCATGACATCTTCATTGTTGAAAATTCTCCTTTGCGTTGAATTATAGGTCTATGATGCTGCTTAGATCCAGTTAAAATTATAACAATCACATAATAAATAAATAAATAAATAAATTTAAATACAGAGTTAAAACTGGTGCTTCCAGATCCTGCAACCTTAGGTCGCTCATTGATACTCCAATTAAAGTTTGGTGTTATATTGTTACTTTACCATGCCTTTTAAATTCCAATAAAAGTTTGATCGTCCTGTAGTGGTCAAACGATGAACTATTTGTGTAAGGAACAACACCTGATAGAAAATAGTTATGTTGATTATATATGTGTTATTACTAAAGTTGAATGCAAAGTCATGATATCATTAGAGTCATGCACCTATGAAAAAATATAAAAAAAAATTCTCAAAATTGAATGAAAAAAAAAAAGAAAAAAAAAGTGAAGATTGGAGATGCTCTTATATAGTGACAAAATATAAAATATAAAAATGTAAAACAGTTTGGTAAAAATGTGACAAAATATGAAAATGTTATTTTGGTAATATAACATAAAACAGTTTCTTTTCTTTTCTTTTCTCTTATGAAATCTAACCAAACAAGAAGGAGAAAAATCACAATCATTTCTTTTCTTTTATTTCTTACTTATCCAAACAAGAAGGAGAGAAATCACAATCATTTCTTTTCTTTTCTTTTCTCTTATTACTTAAGTAATCATTTCTTTTCTTTTCTCTCCTAAGTTCCCAAACATAGCGTGAAGGAGGAGAGCAGGGACGTTGGCAGCAGCGTCGGAGAAGAACACATTGAAGGGGCACCAAAGAAGAACACACAATACTTGTGTTTTGAGAGGGAGAGGGAGAGGGAGAGAGGGAGAGATAGAGATTGATAGTGAAACTGATTCGTTAATAAACAAAACACTCAACCCTTGTGTTTTGTTTTGAGAGGGAGAGACAGATAGAGAAACAGACTGATACGAAGACTGATCCAAAAAAAAAGAGGGAAAAATAAACTGATAAAAAAAAGGGAAAAATAATTTAGAAAAACTGATCCCCAAAAAAAAAAAAGAAGGGAGGGAGGGAAAAATAATAGACTATTTTTTTTCATTATTGCTTAATATGTCAAAATTCTTCTTTCAAAATTAGTGACAAAACAATTTTCTCACTAAAAAACCTAAAAATATTAAAAAATATTAGTGACGAAAATATAGTTCTCATCAAATGGTCTTAAAATATTTAAAATCAATTTTTCAAAAAAAAAAAAGATTATTAGTGACACAAATATATTCCTCATTAATAATTTTTTAATTGTTGAAAAAAAAAATTCTCACCAAAAGTTTCAAAATTTTGGCACCATCAAAAAAAATTAGTGGGAAAAATTTAGGTGACAAAACTTTTTTTTTTCTCACCTAAAAGTAAGTATTTTTTGACGGAAATAAATTTCGTCACCTATTATTTTTATATTTTTAATATACGTAACAAAATTTATAATTCCTCATGGATTATTCTTATTTAGTGACGAAATTTGTTTTCTTCATTAATTTTCGTCACCATACCAATACAGAGAATAAGAGAAAGAGACACCAGAAAAAGAGCAAAGATAAATCACGTACCAAATCACCGAGCGAAGAAGATATGGCGGTTACCGGCAAGGCTACTAGTGGCGGCGACGATCGGCAAGGCTAATAGAGGGGACGATGGCGATCGGCGTGGGGGAGGAGCAAGAGGTAAGACAAATTAATACCCTATTTTGAGAGAGAGAGAGAGAGAGAGAGAGACAGAGATAGATATGATAAACAGAAAAGGGGTAAAAAAAATTAATACCCTATGTTTTTCTTAATTGCCGCTCAATATATCAAAAATTTCCCACCAAAATTGGTGACAATATTATTTCCTCACCAAAAGATATCAAAAATATTAAAACGTTTTGGTGACGAAAATATATTCCTCACAAATAATTTTATAATTAGTGACAAATTTTTTTCTCACCAAAAGTCCCAAAATTTTGGCGCCACCAAAAAAAAAAATAGCAGGAAAATTTTTGGTAACGAAACTTAATTTTACCTCACTTAAAATGAAGTATTTATTGACGAAAATAAATTTTGCCACCTATCATTTTCATTTTTTTATTATATGTGACAAAATTTATAAATTCCTCACGAATTATTTTTATTTAGTGACGAATCTTATTTTCTTCACTAGTTTTCGTCACCTTTTCTTCACTAGTTTTCGTCACCATAGGTTACTTTTGTTGTAGTGTCCTAAAATCCCTTAGAGTAATTTCAAGTAATTAATTTAAATAATGCAGTGGAATAAAATAAAAGAGGTAGATTAATATCTGAAGCGTACATGGAAATTATTATTTATGTAAAGATATAACATTAGTCGGATAATGATTACAAGAAGAAAAAAAAAACATGATATCCATATCAAATTTGAGGTTCTGATCCACAGAACAAAACCATCATTCTTTAAATTTCTTGTCCTGAAAGTGGTTTTAACAGTTATAAGCACATGGCAGAGTGAGAAATATTAAACTGAGAACATGAGGATATAAAATCACTATGGATAATTAATAGTTTGGTTCAAATAAATTATTTTTAATAATAGACATATAACACAAAATCATACAAACAAAATAATTATAATCACGGTATAGAAAAAAATAGAGGGTCAATGGATCCATGACAGACAGAGGGTCACGAAGTGACTAATCAGAAGGCCAAAGGTTATTTAAGTCCCCCAAGGCATGGGACTGTCAGAGGGTTACTAAAGTGACAATTCAGAGGGCCAGTAATTATTTAAGTCCCCTAAAACATGGGACCTCCGTGGTGGTACTTATTCAAAACAAATGTTTATAAAATCATTGTCAAATATTTTCTAAAATTTAAACAAACATATTTATGGGTTTCAATTTAAGCAAATAGAGTTCAGAAAATAATCCACGTAATTAAAACATTAATATAACCATAAAACATAAATTATATAAAATAATTAATGGTAACTCAAAACATTTGTAAAATATGTTATGGTGACTCAAGGTATAATATTACTCACTTTAATATTGACCCTTACTGTTTCCTCTTCCCGATCCCTTCGAGTTCCTCTTTGCTCCACTTTCTTTTCTCCCTGTTTTTGTGTGGCCTACGCTTATCACTTCTCCCTTCTTTATATACTTGCGCAAATGCTGAGACCCCTAAGCCAACTCATCCATTAATGATTTTTTCTGCGGGTGGCAGATCTCATATTTAGCAAGATCTTTAAGTGGCACATTTTTGGATGCCCAGCAAAGCCTACCTAGAACATACTAGCCTATCCTAAGTATTTAAAACATACTAGTGTAGCAAACTACTAGGGCCACCTGTATACTTTGTTGAGTAATTATTATTATTCTTATTATTTCATTTTATTTATTTATTTTTTCTTTGAAGGTTACGTTTTATAATTTGGTAAAACTAATGGCTCTTAATTACGTTTTATACTCCTAGTATTTTGTTTTATTTATTTATTTATTTATTATTATTATTTTCTTTATTTTATTTATTTATTTATTTATTTTGTGATAAACATTAAATGTTTAGTTGAAGTTAGTGAAATATTTGCGACTTGAGTATCACAGTTAACATGCGGCGTGTTAACTACAGATCTAACATGATCGGACTGGTGAAATTAATGAAAAGCACCAAATTCACACAATCACAGCTCAACTGCCTGCGGTAAACACCTTTCTGGCATTTATTAGATGTATTGAGAAATGGTGAGATCGACCTTGACTAATGCATGAAGTACGATGATGTTATTGTACATGTCCTATAAATGTACAAGGCTTCAAAAAATGCCTTCTACATTGGAGAGAAGAAAATGAACATACACAATAGTGACATTAAGCTGATTTTTGGTATGGACTGTGACACCAAACCAATGGACATATCATATGGTGTGAAACCAAAGACTGGCATTATAAACAAAAGGTGTAAAAATGTCAGCCGGTTGGCTTCAACATGGATACGCACCCTTTTGACCGAGGCATTGAAAGGTAAAAAGAAAGATAACAACGAAGAAGTCGCCCGACTGGTCTGAATGTATGCTTGCCAAAAACTTTTTTTTTCGACACATGGCAAGACAATATGATGGGCTACTATGCACATATGGTCTCATTGGAAAGTATGCAAGAATATGATTGGGCCAAACAAATTAAAACAACGCTGACATCCTCCATTTCCCAAAACGACAAAAAGTCGGCAAAAGTCACCGACTGTGTCATCTTATTGATGGTAAGTACCCATGTTCTCAAATAATAACATTCACATCTTCTTAACTTTTGTTCATCTCTGCCAAATATGAACATTCAATTCTGTCTCACTGATGTGAATGTTCATATTCACTTTTGCTTTACTATTGTGAATGTTCACAACTTTACCACTGATGTAAATATTCATATCCACTTTTGCTCTAC